AGAATTAAAAAAAAAAAGAATTGATGTAACTCTTATAAACCACTGATAATAGGATAATGTAGTTTAAAACTTTGGAGAAGATGACATTTTTCCCAAAAATGACCCTAAAAAGGCCAATAAGCACATGCAAGGATAATCATGCTCACTAGTTATCAATGCAGATGAAAATATTGCTTACTCACCAGATGGCTACAATCAGAAATTCAGATAATACTGTGTTGGTAAGAACTGAGAAATTATAATCCTTATACACTGCTGATAAGAAAGTAAATTAATACAACTTCTTGGACAAGTCTGGTAGTCCCTCAAGAGGTTAAAACACAGAGTTACTACATGGCCTAGCAATTTCACTCTCAGGTAAACACCTAAGAGAATGAAGACCTAGGTGTATATAAAACCAAATGCAAATGTTCACATCAGCATTACTTGCAATAGCTAAAAAGTGGCAGCAACCCAAGTGTTCAACAAATTATACATAGTCAAGTAAAATACATACAACCAGTGTAATCTTGTTTAGTCTTAAGAAGTCAATAAAGTACTGATACCTGTACAATACATGAAACCTTGAAAATATTATACTAAGCTTAGGAAGCCAGACCAAAAGGCCATAAAATGGGTAATTCCACTTACATCATGTTTACAATAAACAAATCTACAGAAACAGAAAGCAGATTAGTGGATGTCTAGGGCTGGGTGAACCAGGGAGAAATGAGTGGCAGATGAACAGACAGGATTTCTTTTTATTTATTTATTTAATTTTTTGGCAGAACCAGGGATCGAACTCAGGCCCTTGCACTTGCCAAGGAAGTGCTTATTCTACTGAGCCATCTCCCTGGCCCCTAGACAGGATTTCTTTTGGGGTGTCTAGACTGGCCAGCTTTCCACTGGTAGGACAAAACACCTGACACTTGCAACTTAAGAAAGGTTTATTCTAGCTCACGATTTGAGAGGTTTTAGTGTATGGTCAGTTGGCTCCAAGGCAGCAACTCCAAGGCAGTGGAAGGGAGAGACAGAGGAAAACTGTTCACTTCAAGGCAGGCATGAAGCAGAGAGAGAGGAAGAGAGCAAGCCAGAGAAGGGAGCAGCCAGAGAGAAGGGAAGGGGCTGGGGACAAGCAAACCCTTTAAAGGTACACTTCCAGAGACCTATTTTCTCCTGCTGGGCTCTACTTCCTAAGAGCCCATTCAGCTCTAATCACCAATGGATTAATCCATAGTGAGGTTAAGTGTCTTCACAATCCACTCATCTCTCTAGGCCCCACCACTGAGCACAGCTACACTGGGAATTAAGCCACCAATCTTTGGGGGCCACTTCATATTTAAACCACAATTTTGGGCCAGGGAGATGGCTCAGTAGGATAAGCGCTTGACTGGCAAATGCAAGGATCTGAGTTCAATCCCTGGTTCCACCAAAAAAAATTAAAAAATTAAAAAAAAATAAATAAATAAACCACAATTTTGATGAAAATGTTCTAAAGCTGATTGTGGTAACAGGTGCATAACTATGGATATACTAAAAACCACTGAGCTGGAAACTTTAAATGAGTGCACTTTGTGGTATACAAATTATGTCTCAATGAAGTGGTAACATTTTCTTTTTAAAAGATGTCAAATAAAAAAGTTTACTGTTTACCTTTCATGCTGACACACACGATGGCTAACACAGTACATATAACAACTGCCAGGAGTACAATAAGAACAATCAAGTAACTGCTGAGTAGAACTCCGCCAGCACAATCCAACTTCCCTCTGTGCATGACATACAAAGTCAGAATGCCAATCCACCTGTGGAGAGAGAGGGAGGGTCAGCAATGGAATCCAGAGAGTGGGGTACAGCACAGTGGTAGAGCACTTGCCTAGCATGCATGAGGCTGTGGGTTCACTCCTCAGCAATATAAAGAAAAAAAAAAAAAAATCCAAAGTGTTGCTTTGTAAAACATGACATAAACAAATATTTTTAAAACATGATATAATGAATTTAGGGAGGAAATTTAATATTTTCCAAAATGAATTCAATGTATATATTTTTTTGAAAAAAGATACCTATCTTATACATATATATACACACATATATATGATATTCATATTTTCTTTCATGATACTAGGACTTAAACCCAGGTCCTTAGCACTAAAGTAACTCTCAGGTGTTTTTTTTATTTTTTATTTTGAGACACTATCTTGCTAGATTGCCCAGGCTGGACTTGAACTTGCAATTCTCCTACCTCAGTTTCCCAAAGTGTTGGGATGACCTGCAATACCATGCCTGGCTTGAACATAATTTTTTAAAATGTATTTGATACAAGGTCTCACTACACAGCTCTGACTCATACTGATCCTCCTGATTCAGCCTCCCCAGTGCTGGGATTACAGGGGTGCACCACTATGTCCGGTCTTGGTGGCTGGCTCAGCACATCCGGAGCGGGGCCAGCATGGCTTGTGGTAGCAGGGATTAAATCCAGTTCCTTGCAGTTGCCAGGCAAGTGCTTAGACCACTGAACTTGAATATCATTTTGTATTAATAAAAGATATACTTGGCAACTAATGAGTATGGCTTTTTAAAAGATGAATTTTAGGGCCACGGAGATGGCTCAGTAGAATAAGTGCTTGCCTCGCAAGCGCAAGGACCTGAGTTCAATCCCCGGTTCCGTCAAAAGAAAAAAAAAAAAAACAAATTTTATACTTTCTATATGTCTATCATTCTTTTTCTATGCCTGCTATAATCCACCTAAAACCACAAACAAGCAAACATAATTTGAGTTGCTGGAAAATAAGCCATTACAACTCAGAAACATCCAACTAATTCGAAAATTTGCACATACGTAGATTAAAAGAAATTAATAAACACAAAACATAATCTGCTATCTGTAATTGAAAACCAAGAAGGAAGGAAGTGAGTGATGCAGATGTTCCAAGGTGAGCACTGATACAACTGAAAGCGGTCCAGTGGCCTTCAAGCTACATTTTGACATTCAGGGCAGAACCGTGAAACAGCACGGAACACAAAGCAAAAATGTCTCTGATTTTTCCTTAACCGTATCTCAGCAGAGGAAAGGATGTGTTATTAGGGATTCAAGAGCAGACACTTAAACAGTGGCACTGGGGAGCTAGGAGGTTAGCTCAGTGGCAGAGCACTTGTGTGAGACCCGGGACTTAAATTCCAACACCAGGGAAAAAGAGGAAAAAAAGTTTTAATATTGTTGATTTTGTGATATCAGGACTCTAAATCTAGAAATAACATGGAAATGGTTTCTAAAACCATGGCTCTTTTCTTAAGAGAAAAGTCCTAGGATGCAGGTCAAAACATTGTTTTTATATTCTTTTCCCCTCAAGAATCTACTTGTGCATACCAAGGATATTATTCTTTGCTCAGACCCCCAGGGATCTTGCTTCAAACACGATTCTCAGTAAGGGTGTTACTTTCCAACTTTTAAATTCTACATGTTGAAAGACAACAGAGTCTGTGTGAAAGCTGACAGGTACTGAACCCTGTGCCTTGGCAAGGTGCTACATACCCAGCCATTTATTTAGTTTCGAAACAGGGTCTCGCTAAATTATTCAGTATGGGTTCGAACCTTCAATCTTTCTGACTCAGCCTCCCACAGTACTAACGGTTAGAGGCACTTTTTCAATTTTTGCAGACGCAGGTGCTGGGATCTTATACGCAGTGTAAGTCTGAGGACCAGCGTGTGGGGCTGAACTCGGCTGGAGGAAGACACGCTCCAAGCGATGGCTTTCGGTGTGCAAAGACGTCCTCGCCTCTGGAGTCACAGCCACAAGAGTGACCCCAGGCATTACCTTTCCTCTTTGGGCCTCAGCTTTCCATTTGCAATATGAGGTCAACAAAAGCACCTAACCTCCTCGGTCCATGGTGAACACTAAATGAGGAAATTGCTGGCCAGCCCCAGTACCGCGGCGGCGCGGGCAATGAGCGACTTTTAGCACTGTCTCGCGGAACAGCAACCCTCCAGCCCCACTCCCAGGCCCCGTCCAGCATCCCCAACTCTTACCACAACACTCTCAGGAACAGCTCGAAGAACCCAGGAAAGACTAAGTCATCACTGGCAATGGCCCAGCGCCGGCCGAAGAGCACCATCCCCGGCATGGCGCAGGCCTCGCCGCGCGGCTGCAGTCACCCAGCGCGCCACTCGCCCGCCACTCTGACCCTAAAGCCCCTAGTCTCCGCCGGCAAACTGGCCCTCGGCCCCGCGCAGGCGCACTGGAGGCCGGAGCCGCGCGCATGCTCATTCTAGGGCCGCGGCCGGTCTGCGCCAATAGACGCCCAGGCCGCAGCGGCCGGCAGTGTTGTGCGCCTGCGCAGACAGGCTGACTCCGGAAGCTGACGGTCGGTTTTATTACCGATTGCTCTGTGAACTCGGCTCTCGCAATATTTCCATTTTCTAGATAAGGACTCCAAAAGCCCAGAAGGAGTGCTGCCCCAGAGATTCCCCAGCTATTAATAGTGGTCTGGGACTTAGGCCTGGATTACTGACACTTCCAAGCATGGGACAACCCCTAGGTGTTCTCTGTCGTAGAATTCTCACGACGGGATCGTCCTCGCGTTAAAGGGCTGAAACTGCACTCTACCCTTGCCCAGATAGAGTCTGACAGAAGCAGAAAACTGCAAAGGCTCCCGACAGAAATGACGAGACACGGAGTTTTAGGAACAAAGAGCAGTTTATTCTGCCCGCGTCTCTACAGGGCACTAGTGTCTTTCTGAGAAAGAACAAAGCCCTATTTCTATTTTTTATAGTTTCTAACCTACGGGGCAATTTTTCATTGGAATCAGTACGAAGCGAGATTATAGAAACAAGGACATGATTAAGGGGCGGTTTTTGGTTTGGGTTTTGGTACCAGGACTCGAACTCGGCCTCACAATTGCCAGGCAGGTGCTGTGCTGCTGAGCTCTATATCCCTGGCCCAAAATGGATCAAAAGGCAAGAAGTTTACAGGAAGACATGCATCATTGATATTACCTCACTGCTCTTCCCTTACAGAGCCTGGGCCACTTTCCCCAGGAGCTTAAAGGCAGTTAACCCAGAGTTGTCCAGTTTCGCCCCAAGAGATGGTCTTCTCTCTTAGGACCGCGTCTCTGCACCTCCTTCCCTCCCCCTTCAGATCTTGTCTGCACTGGCCTCCACCCTGCCAAAGACCCTGCAGCCCCTCTCTGAAGCCTTTCTCTGACAGTCACACATTCGAAGCTTGTTTTGCGTGTTTGTCCGTCTTCCACTCTGGTGCCTGCCATCGCTTCCCCAATACATTAAACTCATTCTCACTCCAGGGTTTTTACACTCCTCTCTCCTCTTCTGGGAACATACCCCCTGCAGGTATTTCTGTCTCTTCATTCAGTCCTAGTTCGTATCCCTACCTCAGAGGTTTTCTCTGGCCACCTTACTGAAAATACACACACAGGTCCTGTTCCTTACAGGGCTTTCATTTTTTGATATGTGTAAGTTACATGAGCATAGACACCTTGTCCACTTGTTTGCTGCAGTGCATGTAATACCACAAATTATAGGCACTTGCTCAATACTTGATAAGTGACTAGCCTTATTAAACAAATATCAAAAGTAGGTGGAGGAACTGAGAGGTGAAGAATTAGATGGAAGTGATTGAAGTTACAGTGTAATGGCAGGGAGGAAGTCCCAGAGCAGTCCAGGAAATGAGTGTAAAAGTTCCAAGGTCTGTTGCACATACTTGAGCAAGAGTATTTCATTAGATGTGTTGAGAAGTCTAAAAATGGAGGACACTCCCATGTGGCGAGATGTCTTGGGGGGCTTCTGCATATACAGAAGTGCATTCTTCAAATTAAACTTCATTTGTACCAAATTTCAGCTGCACCCAACTTTAGCCTCTTTGGCAGGCAAGCCCTTTACTTCCTTTTCAAAATCTAGAGCCCCTCTACACATAAGGCCCCCCAAATGTCCTGCTATCAATGAGCTACCATGTAGTATTCTGATCCGATATGTTCTGATTGTCCATCAACCAGAGTTATTAATTGGACTTCTAGCCAGGCATGGTGCATTATGGGTGTATACTCATAATCTTAGCTACTTGGAAGGCTGAGGTAGGACCTAAAGCTCAAGTCCTGCCTAAGCAACTTAGTTGAGACCTTGTCTACAAATAAAAAGGGCTGAGGATACAACTTAGCACTCTCTGGATTCAGTGCCCAGTACAGTGTGCACATATGCACACATGAACATACAGTTGGGCTTCTGCTGATGTTGTCAAACTTGGGCTGGACACAGAGCAGCTAGAAATTTAACTGATAGACTAACCTTAACATTTAGCTGTTTGTAAGACTTGAGAACTGGTACTTGAAATACCAGTAAGATTTGGAGTCAGTTTGATTTTAGAAAGATACTACATCTCAGCTAAGCTGGTTTCCTCATCTATCAAGTGGATATTAAACTAATAATGATTTAAAAGTAGAGAAATTGGCTGTGGTGACACACACCCCAGCACTCAGGAGGCTGAAGCAGGAATACTGATTCAAGTTCAGGACCAGCCTGGGTTACATAGTGAGTTCAAGGCCAGTAGGAACTATATAGCAAATCTGTCTCAAAAAAAGTAAAGAGCAAGTAGGGCATGGTGGCATAGGCCTGTAATCGCACTCTCCTTTCTTAGCATGCTAGTTAAAATATTTGATATTTTCCTGAATGAGTCTCCAAATGAGAAATGAATTTTAAAAAGACAACAACAACAACAACCCCTTTTTCTTTTTCTTTGTTACTCAACTTTCTCTTAGAATTCTATTTCTGGCATTTCATGTGGATACAAGTTTAAGAGACAACACACTATAGCATTTAATTGCTTGCTAGAGGAGAAAATTTGAGAATTTTAAGAGGAAGTAACTAGGTGTGCCGGTACATGCCTGTGATCCCAGTACTTAGGAGGCTAAGAGGTAAAAATATCCCTGGAAGTTTGAGTACAACCTAAACTAAATTTCGGGACCCGTCTCAAAAAAACTTCCATTTTTTTTTTTTTTTTTTTTTTTTTCGGA